CAGAAGCAAGTTCTGCTCATCATGAAGGGTGAGATAGTTTTCGTTTTGTGGATAAACACAACAGCAGTGATTGGTCAGCTGACCCACTTCCACAATGCTGAGAAAGGAAAATGGTGTGAGGATAAAAATAGGGTAGTGAGAAGGGGTTAAGGAGAAGAATACAAAATATATGGGGCTTCCCTGGTGGCACAGTGGTTGAGAGTCCGCCTGCCGATGCAGAGGTACACGGGTTCGTGCCCCGGTGCGGGAAGATCCCACATGCCGCGGAGTGGCTGGGCCCGTGAGCCATGGCCGCTGAGTCTGTGCGTCCGGAGCCTGTGCTCCGCAACGGGAGAGGCCACAACAGTGAGAGGCCCGTGTACCGCAAAAAAGAATACAAAACGTTTTACCTCGTTCACTTGAGCTCGAAGCTGGTGACTCCCAATCAAGTGAGGAAGTCGGTTGGCAATTTCCATCCAAGGTCTATAGTGATCAGGAAGTTCTTTCTGCATTGAAAAAATTAAAATGTCTCAGTATTTTAAACCTCTCTGGGAAGCAGCTTCGTGTAATAGCTGTTTTCAGATTTCAGTCGTAAGGCAGAATTCAGGTCAATTCCATTCAACAAATATTGAGAATTCACTATCTGCTGTACCCTATGCTAGGCACTGCAGATACACAGGTGACTGAAATACAGTCCTTGTGGTGAGGGAGCATATGGTCTAGTAAGGGATAAATAAAATGTAATCAGACATACCCAATGCAGTATAATATGTTCAATTAAGGATATGTGTAAGCTTAGCAACCAGCTGAAGAGGAAGTGGTTAATTCTGTCGACTGTGCTAGGGAATTAAAGGGAAAGGTTCATAGAAATATGATAGTTGGGGCCAGTGAAAGTGACTTTTCTAGTTGGAACTTTTAAGATGGGAAGGCAGTGAAACAGAGGAGATAGTGGATAAATAGAGATAACTGTGTTTCTTGGGATTACAGATGATTCAGTGTCACTGGAATATAAAGTTCAAGAGAAAGGATGATGGAAGATTTGACCAGAAAATCAGATCAAATATGCTTTTTTTTTTTTTTTTTTTTCTTGCGTTATGCGGGCCTCTCACTGTTGTGGCCTCTCCCATTTGCGGAGCACAGGCTCCGGACGCGCAGGCCCAGCGGCCACGGCTCACGGGCCCAGCCGCTCCGCGGCACGTGGGATCCTCCCGAAACGGGGCACGAACCCGCGTCTCCTGCAACGGCAGGCGGACTCTCAAGCACTGCGCCACCAGGGAAGCCCTCAAATATGCTTTTTATTGACTACATAAGAACTTTATTTTTATGTATGTTGGTGACATGATTCAATCTGAATTTTAGGAAGATAACTTTGCTTTGGGATTTTAAGGTATAAAGTCAGATTAGGAAGCCTTTGAAATATTGTCTGAAAATTAAGCTTACGCAATGGCAGTGAATTTGGAAAGGAGAAGGTATGTATTCAAAAATATTTGGAAAATAAAATTGAAATAATTAAATTTAGAGGCAGGGATGGGGCTAAAGGCGAGGTGATCCCTAGCCCAATAGCACAGTTTATCTGCCCACTCTGGGTCGTTGCTTTAGCCGAGAAGAACACAGGTTGGATTTCAGCGACCCTGACTCTATCTCAAGAAATGGCAAACTGCAGGAAACTACACTCGTTGTAAATAAGCTTTTATTAGGACACAGCCAATGTGACGAAAGAAACGGAAGAACAGCTTCAGGGCTAACAGCACATTTTGGCTTCTGTAAGAAACTTGCTTGCTTGCTTGCTTGCTTGCTTGCTTGCTTGGGGCGGGAAGAACCGGGTTCCTGATTGGCTGATTTAAAATTAAACAGCTCCCTCCCGCCTTGGGGACTTCCCGCCGCCCTGTGAAGGGTATAAAAGCCTCGCCCGGCTGTTAGTCGGGGTCTCACTCACTTCTCTCCGAGTGGGACCCTGTCCGGACAGTTTGTGTAAGCTTCTATACTTGTACTTGTATAAATCCTTTGCTAATCTTTCTGCTTGGTGTTGGTGATTCTCGGGTGTCCTTGGTTGGGACACGGGTCGCATTTACCGGGGAACTCGACTCCAGGCGTGTGGCTCCCGGACCACAACACCAAGTTCATTTGTTTCCACATTGTCTACAGTGGCTGTCACTTTACAATGGCAGAGTTGCATAGTGGCAACAGAGACCATATGGTCTGCAAAGCTTCAAACATTTACTATTTGACCCTTTACAGAAAAAGTTTGCCAACTCGTGACCTGTCCCCAGGGTCTGGGCCTCCTTTTACAGAGTACAGTCTGAAAGACTGAAATGTTGTGTCTCTGGGTTAAGAAGGAGAGGCGGTGAGGATGATTTCCATGTTCCTGAATCAGATGACTGAATGAATTGTTGAGAAGACAGATGGAAACAGAAGTGCAGGTGGAAGTCAAAGAGAGGACATACAATAGTGAATTTGTTTTTACGTATGTCCAACCTAAAATATCCGTGGAATGTCAAGATATGGTTATATACTGGGCAGTTGGATATACAATTGGGAGCTCAGGAGAGAATTAATATTAGAAATATACAATCGGGAGGCATCACAGTACTGCAAATTCCGCATTGTGGTTAAAGACCACAAGTGGGTACAAGACCATTCGGGAGAAGTTGCCAAGTGGAAGGAGAAGGCTTAGATCAGCGCACTGGGGGGATACTTACAAGGCAGGCAGAGGAACTGAATCCAGCACAAAAGGACGTGTATAGAGAGGCTAAATGAGCCAGAAGAGAATCACCCTATAGAAGTCAAGACATGAGAGGATTTCTCGGAAGTAGGGATTCACCAGATGGCCAAATGCATCATTTAAGTAAGGTTTACCCCTTTGGAAGACAAAACTAAAGAGTCACTAATATATCTTTAGTGACTTATACACCAGTCTTCCCACGTACTCACTAATATATCAATATATACACCAGCCTTCCCACGTACATGGCATAGAAATTCACGTCAGGGTCATGGAAACAGGGTTCAAATTTTAGTGTGCTGAGGAGGGAAGAAAACAGAGATTGGAAATGTGAGTTACGTTTTGGGGAGAGCCATAAGCCGTCACAAGGCGACAGTTTGTGCTTGAGAGCTGTTGCCACTCTCGAGGGGGAAACTTGAGCGGCTTACAGCCTGCCAGTGTAAGAGGCGGAGATTGAAGAGCAAGGAGAGAGGGAATAATGAACAGTAAAGGGTCGTGAGGAAGAAGAGGAGAGCAAGAGCCCAAATGCAGCACGTGGCTGCGAAGAGCTGGAAGGAGAAAGTCTGGAGTTTGAGGGATTCATTTCTTACGAGCTCAATTTCTCCGCAAATGGTGAAGATTCAGGTTACATGACTTGGGGAGAGGGGTGGGTGTTAAATTAATTATTGGAGGGAAGGGAAGAGGAAATTACACATAAAAATGCAAACAACGTAATATATTGCAATGTAGAATATGTGTATTATACACTGTAATGACCTTCAAAACCCAGGGAAGTTTGAAAACTATAAGTTTGGAGTGCTGTAGATCTGTAAGTTACCAATAAGCCACTTGCTGGAGATCCTCTGTCTCTCAGACTCTAAAATAAAACTGAGTGAATCTAACATCCAATACACAATCTTTGACATTTATAGACTTTACTTAATCCTCTGCTTCCTATCTTTGCCCCTGAATCAATTTAGGACAAATTGGGCACCCTTTACTAGCTTTCCCAACAAATCAAATTACACCAAACATCGTAATTTAACATTTTTAATATAGATATTGTGCAGGAGGGGGAGATTTTACCCTCTACTCCTCTTGAGATCTTGTGTCAGGAGTCAATAAAATTGACACAAAACAGATTAACAGGAGAAAAAGAAAGAACTTTTACTTTGTGCGTACAGAGTTCTCATAGAAATGGGACCTAAGAAGTGGCCAAAGCAGGCTTTTATACTTTGTAGACAAAGAGACAATAAGTCTGTGAGGAATGGACAAAACAAAGAAACTTAGGCTTCAGGTGCTTTTATCTAAACAGAGTTTGGTCTCAGGGTCGTCAGTTAAAGAAGTAACAGGGTTTTATTTATTCAGGCTTCTCGGCTTGAATTCCCTACCTCTAGTTGTAAGGGTGTCCTATCTCCAGATGCGTGGAGCGTACCTTTCACAGGAGAGATTTATTTCTTGCTTTCAGGGAGACAGAAAAGAGGGTCAAATTTCCTCTTACATTGACTGTTTCTTAAGTAACTTTCACCCAAAATAATCAATATGCATTGAGGCATATTCATGAGTGACTCACCCCAGGCCCCAACAATGCAGATATTCACAAAGAGGAAATCACACGGTTCTCCTCACGCATTCCGCATCCAGTACCTCAGCTTCTGAGAGGTAGAGTCCACTATGTTCCCCTACTCTTCTCCTAGAGAGAACATTTATAAGCATAATGGTATAATTTTTCCTAGCAGCGCTCAGCAGTAGCGCAGAATTGAAGAAAGCTGCTAATTGACCCGAGTTTTGGGATTTACAGAGCAGTGGCCCAGCTGAGAATGCTCGCACACATAAAGGCAGAGAGATTTATGGTAAACTGACTCTGAACTGGCAACTTGTTTTTCTTCTCATCTATATGATGCCTATGTTTTATGAACAAAAACTGAATGCAGCTACAGAGACAAAGGAATATAATAGTTATAAAAGAAAATCACAGAAGCAGACTCATAGTATTCAGAACCCCTTTCAAAGTGGGTTTGAAGAAAAGCTGTAACTAAATCTGTACTTCCTTCTTGGATGCCTAGAGAGGGGATCGTATTCTGAGAATTAAATTAGAGCATGCTGGAGAATTCCCTAGCAATCTAGTGGCTATGACTTGGCACTTTCACTGTGGTGGCCCAGGTTCCATCCCTGTTTGGGGAACTACGGTCCTGCAAGCCATGATGAATAGCCAAAAAAAAAAAAAAAAAAAAATTAAAGCATCCTGGATTTCTGCTTCCTGGCTTGCATGGGAATCCTTAAATACTACATTTTGCCTCAATCTAAGCAGCACTCTATTCTTGAATATCTCTTTTTCTTTCCCCTTAGATTCCTAGAGGCTTCTTTTCCTTCCTTCGTCTCTTCATCCTCTCCCTTCTTTAAACAGTTCTAATCTTTGGACTCTGGTATCACCCCACAAATGTAAGAAAACCACGAGCTTTGAGAACCTCTGGGTTCTCCAAGTGTGGTTCCCATCCAGCAGCATCAGCATGATGTGGAAACTTGTTAGACATGTAAATTCTCGGGCTCTACCCCAGACGTACTGAACCTGAAACCAGCTGCCTGTGCTTTAGCAAGCCCTGTAGGTGAAGCGAATGTACCCCAGAGTTTGAAAACCACTGATGTGGGGACCTCGAAGGAAAGGGAGAAAGGATTTTAAAGCTAGTTCATAATCCATTAAAAATGTATTCACCCGAAGTGTCCATCGACAGATGAATGGATAAAGAAGATGTGGCACATATATACAATGGAATATTACGCAGCCATAAAAAATGAAATTGAGTT